ACATACCCTTTGTCCAGAAAAGAAAGCTCTTGTCAGAACACAAGAAAAATTAAATAAAAAGCTCAACCGTAGTACCTTGTCTGTCGTTTTTAACGAAACATGCATATATATATATATATATATAAGCCTCAAACACTAATATTCTATGGTTATAATTTATTACATTGGAATCGTAATCACGATCCAATTCATTAGACCTACACATTGAAAAAAGAAATCGGAACTCACCTACATAAGCACCCACCAGTCTTCCTTACACTTGGGAACCATGATGAAAGCCTAAAAGCCCCCCCGCCACAAAAAAATAAAAACGACACAAACGAGAGATAGCGAATGTAGCACAATCTATGGCGTATAGCCGGCGAAGAAGCAACGCCTTCTTCCTGATATAGCGTCGCCTGACGACGTATTATATTATGGGAGATAGCGCCGTAACCATGAAAATCCGTATGTTGGGTCCGACGTAAGCTGTATATATATATATATATATATATATATATATAAAGAATAAATGGATTTTATTTTTTCATCCGACATATTTTTACTGTTTCTAGCATTATTTTTAGTGGACATCCCTATTTGTGTAAACGCTATGTTTATTTTAAATAGTATTTATTTCGTCTACCAGCCCAATTACTCGAGGAAACTTAATAAAAAATGTAAATGCTTAGAATTCAGCGTTTTCCTTCTCTTAGATTGATTTCCACCCAAGGATAGTGAGCTTAATCTATCCTACTATTTAATCCAGAGCTGCGGCAGAAGAGATGAATTCATATCTTTCTCCCGAACATTTGTATGAAAGTGAATGCAACTGTCTAACGCAGAATTTGAATTCGGTTTCGCCAAATCAATTTTTCGGACAGATAGACACATAACTTAGAAAACAGAAAATGTTTACTCAATAAAACTACTCTCAACCTCGATGCGACTTCGAAATCGATTGAACGCGCTCAAGTGGTTCTCATTCACGTCGGTCATCACAACTATGATGACGGTTGTCATTTTAGTATTATGAGGCCGTTGATTGGTTTTCCCTCAAGACGATGCTTCAGACGTAGTAAACCGTAGGAGGCTCCAGGTTAGACTGTGAAAATCCTCGGCACAGTGGGAAGAAACACATTCCTGCTGAAATATGTACAATCTCCCCTGATCACCTTCTCGGTACAGGGCTTGACCACTGTTTTCGGTACTTTGATGTAGGCAGTGACATTGACCCTAACCAATTTGCTAGCGGTCATGGTTGATGATATATTTTGCATATATGAATAATGAATGTTAAATAATAGTTATTAATATTTATTTCCAGAAGAATTTAGGCTGGTCATTTCAATCGCGCAATTATTATTCACGCTATAACATATATAATCTTTGTTGCAGAATCTTAGACTGAATCATTAAATTTTTTTTTGGGGGGCACGGATATTAAGTCCATGACCTTGAACACAACGCACCTAACCATTAAAAAAAAACTGGCTATCTTTGTGCTGCAGTAAGTGGCAGTTAATGTCTTTTCATGTTCTGTGTCAGATTGGAAACTGGCATGAAAGAGGAAGGAGAATGTTCAAATTTGGCACATGCCGTATAACATTACGTTAGGTCGTCTTTCAAATATGGCAAGCTCTAGGTGTATTCCCAAATACCTGGCCTACTATATATATATATATATATATATATATATATATATATATATATACTCAATCACAAATATAAACCTATTTTTGTAAACATTTATTAGGAAAATTGTATAATATACGAATCAATGTGCTCCAGGATATCCAAGTTATTGTTCAATTTCACTGTTTTTTTTTTTTTTGGGGGGTGTTTGTTTGTTTCAGTGTTTTGAAGAAAATTCCCCCCCCCTTTTTTTTTTTACAAAACTCAGCTATTTTTTTTTTAAAATCACCAAAAGAGTGCAGCGGACCGTGGGTTTACGTGTTGTTAAATTAGGAACACGTGAGTTAATTCCTGCTAGAAGAAGATCCAACTACAAGAACATGGCGGATTCAGAGATAGAAGTGTAAAGAAAACCAACAACACCGATATATATATATATATATATATACAACAAATATATGTATTAAGCAACAAAATTTCATTGGACATAGACATTAACATTTGTGTTTGTGTGTGAACGTAAAGAGTTTGTATTTTAGTGAATGTTAGTACGTACGTGTACGTGTGTATAATGTTCATAGCGCCTCCCACAAATGGGAAGAGGCAATCTTCTGCGAGAGTTTACATTGTAGATGTGTTCGCTGAAAATGAAGAAATGAAAAAAGGAACGAGGCAAGAAATCGCCCAGTATTTATAGTGTAGGGAGAGCGCCCCCTAGTGTATAATCAGTAAATTAAGGAGGTTTTAACTCCGACAAGAGAAAACAAAACGAAATTTAATAATAAATAACAATTTTATTAATATGAAAACAAACGGTGTTAAAAAAAAAAAAAAGACACGGTGTAAGGATGTGTAAAAAGATTTTCATCAAGTAAAAGAAATTTAAAATATTACAGTTGATATCTTTTCTTAAAGTTCAGTCTCGTATGAAAGAATGTTCAGTTAAGTTCTTCCAGTAAATTGTAAAGAGCTTTATTTTTGCAACGTTTCTTTTGTTTTGAAGTTACATGTTTGTGTAAAATATTTAAATAAACCCCTTCCTTTTTAAGTTTTTCCTTAACGACGAATAGAAATTTCTTGACTGATAAAGAATGGACTTACTTGGAAGTGGATGCATATAGCCCAACAAACGACTGGACAGTTTTGCGGGTGTTTTATATGATGACTACGGAAATCTGTATGTAATCTTATGTTTATCTTTGGAAATTAAATCTGCCTTTGATTTTTTTTTCTGTTTTAAGGAATTTCATTGGTTGAAAAATGTTTGCGATTAATGTTAGCTAATTTTTCATTGACTGCAAAAATGTGTGCTAAGGGAAACGATTGTGATGCATAAAGATATGTGAAGAAAATTATCATTAAAACGATTTCCATTTAAAAAAAAGTAACACTGTCGCTTTAGAACTGGAACTAACTTGTACTTGTTTAAGAAATATCTCCAGCGAATACAATCCAAAAATGGTCAGTGTGCATTAAAACGTAAATGTATGTTCTTTTCCACATGAAAACCAATTGCAGAAGTTACTTTTAGTTTTAAGTTGGCTATTATTAATTACTGCAGTTGGTTTTGAAAAATGCATATCTAATTATAAGAATTTAAAATCACGAAAGTAAATATTGACAACATCAGTTTTTTTTCTAGTAAAATATTTAATTCTTAAAAACATGTATTTATACGTGTATATTAAGTACCTCCACAGATTCACCATGCCTAAGGGTTTAAAATAAATTTAAAAAACTGAAAACCTTTCTTGAAGCTTTTATTTTAGTTTTCATTTCGAGCTAATAGATTAAGTTTAATATTTCCAATAAGCAAAATACTTTGCTATATTTCAAAATTAATTCAAATTAACTGGAAGGAGTTTTCGTTTCGAACTCATTAATCATAATTGATTTTAGCGCCATTTTTAGCCATCTGTTTTCACAGTGTAATTCTCTTGATTAAAATATCTTTCAGAAATAAAATATACTTTTCTGAAACTTTATTCGAAGAATATTAACTGATTTAAAGTTTAATTAATCTGATTTCAAACAAATATTACTGTAAGTTTATATTATTATTATATTATAATATTGCAGAAATTAATTTTTAACAGGGTGGTAGCTGTTTATTTTATATGTTGACATATTGACAGCTTCAATGACAGACAGAAGTTTATCAAAGGTTTTTCTACGGTGTCCATAACTGTAAAATTTACTTGAAGAATATAACGTGTGCGTCTTTTTTATATAATTTTTAACTACTCAATAATCTTTAGAATTTAGGAAAATATTCTCCGTAACATAATATTTTATTGAATTTTACTTACTTTGGATTTAAATATGCTATAGCTATCGCTCTTATTTTCTGATAATGTCGAGTATGGACGTTCGTATTGACAAAAATCGGCACGTTTATACACATGCAAAAAAAAAAAAAACATTTAAAATTCTTTTTATAATACTGCGAATCACTTAATTGTAATAAGCTTTTCGGTTTATGATTAGTAAATAGTTTTTACTTAATAACAATATCACCTCACCGTTACAAATTAATACAGAATTTTAAAAGAATTAAAACTTTAATAAAAAAATTTTTTAAAATGAAAACAATTCTTGTAAAATTAATTATTCATCGAATTTTTTTCTTCTGACAATCCATAATTAAAAGCATTTCTAATTAAATATTGCCTTAGTTTTGTTGCATTTTTTGTTTTACGATTCAGAGCAGATTTTCTCCTGTTTTACAAGAAGAAATTGATGATTTAAATTCTGCAAGGAGTTCTGATTTTAACTAATATAAACATTAATAGGTTTAAAATTTAATTTTAACGAAAGGTCATAAAATTAAATAAGTGGGGGTAGTGGTAACAGATGTAAAAATATTTTTACCAAGATCTTCTAAAGAAGAAACATTTCTAAAATAATTTCATTCATCTGTGAATAAATCCTGAAAGGTTTATTAAAATCAGACAATTATTTGTTTTTTGCAAGAATTTTCAAATCAATGTGTTTTTTCATCGCAAAAAGGCGCTAAAATTTGCTATGCTAATTTATAGTCCGCCCGCAGACGCAGGAAAAACAAGATTTTTAACCAAAATTTCAAACGTTCTAAAAATTATTAAAAATGTAATTAAATAATAAAAAATACTTTGGTATTTCCTCTTAATAAAAATATGAAGATTTTGTTGGTAAAATTTTGTTTTTATCAAGTTTTAGGCATTTTTTCCTTATGGTAGGCTTGTTATTTTAGTGAATTAGTAGAGGTACCCACTGTATATATTGTAGTATATGTTTACATGTACAAATATATTTTTCTTTTTTAATAAATTTTGTTAGTTAGACATATATAATTTGCTTTTTGAAACTGCAAAAATCACATTTAAACATTTTCTGTTTGTTGATCATTAAACGGGTATTATTAAAAGTCGTAAAATAATCACCTGAAAAATAAATTAATTTGAATTAAAGAAAGAGTACATCAAAAGTTCTGGGACAAGATTACACACACACACACGCACACATGCACACACACAGCCTATAGAGTGTTCGTGTTTAGTGTGTAGTGAGTGCGAAATAATAACTCCCTTCACCCACTTCTTTCAAATTTGGAGGACTGATAAAGAAGAAAGAAAGAAATTTGTGGGCATATGTGAGATTTTGCCTTTCTCAAAAATTAACCGGTGAGCTGAGAAGAAAAAGGAAAGAAGTTCGCGAGCCTATATGAAGTTGTTTTTGGAACAATGAAAACCTTGCCTTTCACAGAAAGTAACCGGTGAGCCGAGAAGAAAAAGGAAAGAAAGTATCGAGCCTATGCGAAATTCTTTTTGATATAAAATGAGGAGAAAAATTAAGTTAATCAAAGAAGAATGCCTGAAGTCATATGAAAGGTTTCATTTCGGTACCTCGCAACCAGCGTTGAAATACTCGCCAGTGTAAAATTACTCGCCAATTATATTATCGGCCTCTAACCAATACGTGGCACTTCAAAGAATTTTCTGTCAACAATCTAAGAAATCTAAGTATTTCAAACTATCTTTCCTCGTCTACTTTTGGACGTATGCAAACCATATTTCCCTTCAGCGAGCAACGAACTCTCTATAAACATTTATATAAACATTTTTAATATTATTTTGGTAGGATCATTTAATCTGTTATTTGAACATTTCCTCTTCATTACAATACGTTAAAACTACGGAATTTATGAATTCTTATTTATTTTTCTGAAATGAGCTACTGACACTACTTTAAGCGTGTAAAATCGTGTATAAATTCCTTATCATGTTTTGTTAAAATTACCCGTGTATTTTTTTCGCCATTACCATCCTTCATTAATCTTCTTAGCGTGGGTAAATCAACTATTCATTTTAACCTCTAAGCTTGAGTCTATCCGAATCTGGAAGGCGGCACTGAAATTAATGGCGAGTTGATTAAATGCTGATGTGTTGCGGGTGAGGAAAAATCTTCTTTCATAAAAATGCCGATATAAGACCGTATATTAAAAAAGGTCTGTAAATTTAAAAAAAAAAAAGTAGTGTTCGACGTAGTGATTACTCTCAAGCAATTTCTAGTTTATGTGCAGTCTCCCCTCAGGACGTAGGCGATCATGGCTCGCCATAATTCCTTGTCCTTTGTAGCGCTTAATAAATGTCCTATGAGTATCGGATCTTCCAAGCCCTCCTTCCTCATTATGTGCCCTAGCATCCTTCTGTAGAACCACATTTTCGTTGCTTCAAGTCTCTTCTTCATCTTTGAGAAGATTGTCCAGCATTTATTGCCATATAGGAGAACTGATATCACGTAACTGTTCGGTACTCTTTGTTTCTAGCGATTTTTTTCTGTTTCTTAATACTTTGCTCAGCTTTTGGAATGCATTTTCAGCTATCTCAATGCGCCTTCGGATTTCAGTTTCGCAATTTCCGTCCTTCCCAGATATTTAAATTTTTGTATTTGTTTGATTTTGATATTCCCATTTTGTAATTTGCCTTTTGGGGTGTTCCTTTTGCTAACAGCCATGCATTCTGTCTTCTTGCAGTTGATATTTAATTCTTTCTTCTCATTTTCCTTCACTAACTTCTCTAGGGGTTCTTATAGTTTCATTTCTGCATCTGTTATTAACACTGTGTCATCTGCATATATTATGTTGTTAACATTGTGACCGCAAACAATGAATCCTAGCAGGATTTCTAAGAACATCTTGTTAGCGGTTGGTACCCCAGGTATGTGTGTGGGGTGGCATTCATATAAAGGTGTGTGAAGCTAGGGAAAGGATAAAAATAGAAAGGAGGGAATACAAGAGTTGATCACAAAGTTCATGGTCTGGCGTATCTGGATTTAATGTGAATTTTTTAATCTATGATGTTCGATCTATGTAGGAAGTATTATATTGAAAAATAAATGATTGTTGTTGTGATAAAATGGTTATTCACTAAGCTAGATACCTCTATTCAAATTAAAGAGGCTTTTATTTTTTAATAAATGTATCATCATATTGAATAAAAGAATCTGTTCAACGAATAAGGGTCTTTTTATTTTGATTAACGGTCTCTTCTCTATAAATAAAAGTAGTGTACGGATGCAAAGGGCGATTATCTTCTTTTGAGAAAGTAGAGTCACGTGACAGCTGGTGAGTGACGTCAGTCTATAGTGACGAACGCCAGTTGCGATGTAGACAGCAGAAAAGTAAAATATGATTTCCCACAGCAGTTAAGAGAGCCTAAACTGGATTATCAGTTATAGTGAAGTGTATGCGTGTTGAAACAGATTAGTTTGATTTGGCCTTGTTAGATAGCCCACTATAAGAAGGGTATAAAACAAGAAAATCAAATCGTAAAGTGAAACAACAAATTTATATACATATAAATCAATTTAGATCTTTACAAATAAAATTAATGTATTTTGGTTGATACAAGGTCGTCAAAATGTTCGTAGTAGTCCTTGCAAGAATGAGTTTATGTGCACGTAGGCAGGAACGTATGTGTGTATGTATGTATGTATGAGCGTTATCGTAGGGTAGGAATGTCTTTGAAATAATCGCTCAGTCTTAAAATGTTCCGTTCGGTTATCAAGTATAAAAGAGGTGAGGGAGAAAGGTAGAGATAATAATAACGATCGATTGACGTTTGTCAAGGGACGTGTTAATACGCTTGTCTCCTTCTCTCTGGCGACAGGTGAACTTGCCCATCTTTTATTTTGTTTGTGGGGCTTAAGAAGGTCATTTGGAAATTCACTCCCGGATATGATTCGGGCCTTTCCATTGGACGACGAACATACTTCGCGTCGGCTCGTGAAAAGGTCTGTAGAAGAATTTGTTTCTGAGAATTGAAGATTATTTGAATTTTGTTTTTAAAATGTTTCCTAGTTTTCTATTGGCAGAAAAACATTTCGCATCAAGGTGTGGAATTTTACGAGTTTTGTTTTGGATTCGCTTTTGCGTGAGTGTTAAGCAAAGTTTATAAATTCGAGTCTTTTTAATTTCTAACAAAAGCAATGAGTCTGGGCTTGGCATTTGAATTTTAAATCTAGATCTTGTTTTGTTCACTACAAGCCAAGTAAACTACATGGTTTCACTAGGTACATAGGTTTCCCTATGGGAAATATTTCAAGTAAAACCCTCTCGTTTTCCATCCCTTTCACGTTGCTTGTTGTATACGTTTTACAATTTCTCTGTGTGAGAAGAATTAGAAGTATGTATATATCGGTATAACAAATCTGTTTGAGAATAAAGCATGTTTGCCATTCCTTTCTTTTAGTTATTCTGTACGTCCGAGGTATGAATACCACAGATTTACTAATACCTATAATGGGTAAATTTAAACAAGAAATATTCTTTCTTGCATAGCACCCCCATTAGTATCTTTAATTTGAATAGAAGTATCTGGCTTCGTGAATAACTCTGTAAAACTTCACAAGTTAGATTTTGAAAGAAGCCGAATAGTACACATTCTTAGTTATATTGAATAGTTAACACACAGGTTTGACGTCTGCTCGAAAAAAAAAATGCCTCCCACTGCATGCACACTCACGACACAGATTTGGTGAATGACCTACACTGATATGCCAACGTGTCATTGGTGAACAGCCAGATCTGTGTTGTGGATGTGCATACTAGATGGGAAATATCCTAAAAAAGGATAACCCAGAATGTCTCGTTTGTTAAACCAAATGCACAAATTTGCAAAATAATTGGGAATTATATATATCATTTAATCACCAGTTACTTACCATCGCCTGAAGAAGTACAATCAAAGTATCGAAACATGAAAACTTTCGTGTAGCGATTTCAACATTTTAGCATAATCTCTTATAATAGAAATAATAATAATATCTTGCATAACTTTGTATTGAGCACTTTTTAAAAAGTAAATGCTACGAACAGTGGAATTTTACTCCATCTGTTCTTTCTCTCATTTTTATATATATATATATATTGTTTATTTGTTGTTGTCGTTTTCCGAAAATAATTTAGGAACCCAAAAGGCAACCTATCAAAGTCGAAAACCCCAGTGTAACGTGTGTTGTTAGAAGTTGGGATATCCTATGGTTCGATGGCATGTCGCTATTGTCTCTATTCTCCATGTCATCACGGTTTTATTGTGTGTTCCACCATTCGATGCTACATCAGTCCAGAAGAACCTAATCTGGAGATATTATTTTTCTCCATTCTTAGATCCGACCGAGTTAACGCACAAAGTCCAGTCACAGAAACACAGTTTCATCCAAGGGACGCCGATATGTAAAATCACTCTTTACTCTTAAAGAACCAGCCACACTATTCCCTAATCACTTGACTTATTTTCCAGCTGTAGCAGAAAACGCACGATTTATCAAATATTGTACCCGTAATAAAATACCATTGAGTAGCAGTATAAAAAAAGCAACTTATTTTCCAATCGTTGCATTCGACATCATCACCTGAAATGCACAAAGAAAGAAGAAAAGTAAGGAAGAACAATACAAAAACCCCAGTATAAGTCTTTTCCTCACTTCGTCTCGACCGATTGATCACTTAAGCAGTATTGAGTGGGGACGATGAATCAAACTGTTTGTTCTTATTGATTAGTTCCACACCTGCTCGCAAGACGAAAGACGGAAACAGGGTAGTGGTTGGTTAGGTGTTGAGAGGCGTTGATGGCCTTTCAGTGTTAAAAAATGTTTTTTGCATCGTTAGGCTATACACTAAGTGATGTACCTATATAAAAGTGATATAGAATGGATACGTTTCTAGCATATCTTAATCTTTTACATCCATGTTCAACTATTTATGTGTAATTGTATTTTCATCAACTTTTAATGTAGGTATAATTTATGTATATGCTTTTTTCTAGCATGGGTGCTCCTGGGGGGTATATATTTTTTTTAAAAAGACCAGAAGTCTAATGAGATTTTTAAAGTTTTATTTACATCACTGATTTTTGGAGTAACAATTTTACGTGTAACATAT